TCCTTAATTTACATTATAACCATAACTCAAAACAGCAAAATAAAATGCACTCAGTTCCCCCCTCTGTTGTTGTCTCTCTCACACACATAACACAACATTCTATTGTTTAGGGTTTTTTATCGCAAAAACTGGCTGAATGAGCTGTTTCTGCCTTCTTATCAGTTACTTTGTGTACTGAAACGACTGTCTGTTATATAAACATTTTTTCTCAACTATAGTTTTTTCAATAATACTTTCAGTTTTAGCGAACCTCTTTGTGGCACCTTCTAAAAGCCAGTTTTCATTTTTAAGGCAACACCTCTGTACCCCTAGCAAATGTTCAGTACATATCACTTGCAGAGTACAGTAAGTCCTTGTATAAATGTGTATATGCAACTTAGGCTGCAGTTAGCAATTTACAGTACATCAGAGTTCATATTGGATTTCGCATAGTTAAAATGAAAGCATTTACTAGCCACTATACGAGATAAAGCTGAACATGATAAAGGCTGGGGTTTTCCCCCTCATGAGTAATGTTTGTTTTTATTCAACTGGATTCAGATGACATTGCTTTTCACTATTTCCTGGCATGTATGATTGCTTATCTCAGTGTAAAGGGACAGTGGGGTTTGGGTGCCAATTCTGCCCTCATTGATTTGCTTCGGATTCTGTCCTGCGATTGCTATGGAAAGCCGTCGGTTCAACTGTTGTATTACTTATGATACTTTTTTTAAAAAAGGGAACTGGTGAAAGTAGGGACAGAAAGGAAGTGAGGGGTAAAGGAGCAGAAAAATGTTAATAGGACTTTACTGAAGTGATAATTGCAAATATGATAATTGCAGAGATTATAAATGCCAGGTGGGTTCTTGGAATGAGACAATTAAACATTTCCCTTTCTTTGGGATATTTAAATTTGGAAGGCTGAGCAAGGACAGGAAAAGGGTGAGGACAGTTGAGCAGTTTAAAGAGGAATTGTGAGATGCTTCTGACCATTCAAGACCTTCCTCCACTCCTTAATAGCCCTTTGTCCTTTCCTCCCTTAGAAGCTTATGAAAAAAAAATCTTGAACAGCATAAAACAAAATATTTAAACATTATAAAGTGGTTCAAAGCAATAGCCATTTCAACAGCGGTAACTGCTTTTGAGAAACTTTTGAGACCAGTTTGACCCAGGCATATCTTGCTCCATGCTTTGAGTTGACATCAAGAAGAGGCAGAATAACTGAGTTTGTTGAAACCAAAGAGAAGTTACTTGATTGAAGCTCCTTGCAATTTAAAATTTAAACTAGGCACATCTGCTAATTATGTTTTCATCTCATTCTACACATTCTGCTTCTCAGAAAGTTTTCCTTGGAGCGGGTTTGATTGTGGAGGAAGCTCAAGTTAGAGTGTTTGTTTACACAGAAAGGACTAGTGGCATGAATTAAAACAATGTGTTGCAAGCGTGACGTAGAATGACCTTTCTGGAGAAGCAAACAATCTGTAGCGTTTGCATTTTATCCTATTATGCCCTTCGTGCAGCAATTGTTGTACTAATTGTTAAGGATGTTTCCTCTGTAATTCTCCTGTTCCTGCGTTAATATTCTATATCCTAGCATGAAAAAAAAACCACATTTCTAAACAGGTGTGTCTGGGAACCAGGCCATTTCTATATGTCATCGCAACATGACAACCTGCACATCATCGTCCTGCGGCTCACGCCCTCCAAACCTGCTTTGCAAAGTAGTGAATGCGAAGTCAGCTCTCGCTTTATTCATGCTTCTCCCAAATGTCTGTTCAGTAACTGAACAGGGGTCTCCCTACTTTCAGCCAGCAGAACCTATTTAATACCTCATGGAGCTAATTTCAATTGTTAACCCCAGTGAGAAGAGATCCGCTGGATGTAAGCCTCCTTGATTTAAGGGGTCTACTCTGCTCGGAACACACCATCGGATTGTATTGAGGCTCAAGGACACAACATGCCTTGCACAAGCACGGATAGATGCCAGCAAAACATTGTCAGCAAAAACAGAAGACCTTTGGAGCCAGTCAAAGACATTATGGTGCCAGAGACTAAAAATCCAAAGAAGACTCTCAGCCTATTAACATGAGGAACAAGTCACTGAGAAGTATAAGCTCCTGTGAAATTAACAGGAGCTGTGCAAGGGCCCAGGGAACATTCCTTCTGTTGCCTATCTGAGGCCGTAAAATATTGCAAAATGCTTGTCCTACTGAAAAGATTACATTGTGCAACATTTGGCTACATACAGTGTAAAAGCTGGCATTGTCCCTCTTCAGAGCCAATTCCTACATTAGGATAAACTACCAGAGGCAGCTTTTGCCGAGGCCAGGGAGCAACAGAGAGATGCTGTTCGCCCCTGGCTGGGGGCACACGGCCTGCCTAACTCTCAGGCGTGGTGGAGGACTATACGTATCATCAGCACTGAAGTATAATTCTGCTGCAAATCCAGTGAGTGGGCCTTTTGTCTTTCGCCTCACGTAGAGCAAAAAATAAAAAAAATCCCTCTTTTGAACGACGGCTGTCAGATTTCCCCAAGCGTGACTTAAAACCTCACAGTCTAGAACAACTACATACACCAGAAGACGGCAGAAGAGGAGCTGGGGTCTTGCTGCAGGCATTTGGCCCTTACTGCGAAGCGGGCTGAAGAGACCGCTGGACGAGGAGGCCACAGAAGGGGGGCATGGGGCAACAGGCTCATCCCAACGGTCTTGTCTAGGTCAAGAGTTTCACCACAGGGGAGGCGGGCCTCTGAAGACAACTCTGGTGAGTTTATGTTCTAGGTCCTTTACTTAAGACACAGATGATTATTAGCCTGCTGTGTTTATTAGATGGTAGCTTGCTTTCCCTCCAGCCCCTTTCCCCCCACTGTTCAGCCTGACAGTATGCCCAAGAACTCATTATTTCATGGAACATTTGTTCAAGCAAGTATGCGTAGGGTTGCAGCCTTGACCCTGGAGATCCAGTCAAGAGCAGGTTCTCTGACCTTGTTCTGAATCAGCCCGGTCCTTGGAATCTCTGTCTTTTAAAACAGAGATATATAGAGAAGCGGCAGAATTTTCTGTATTACGGCTCTCCCTCAAAGCAACCTATGGGAACAGAAGCCTTCTATGAAACATGTTGCATCATTACTCCCAGCTTTGTAGAAGGGTTTTTAGAGCGATGCTCATGTTTCTTGTTGCTTAACTGGCAGGCAGAGAGTTATGGACCATTGCCAAGAAGGAAGAAACTCACTTGACATTTCGGGCACCGGTTAAAATGGATGATTGTGAAATATCCAGCTCCTTTCTTGGAAACGTGACTCATCTCCAACACTCCCCTAATTTAGAAGGTGAACGCTGTAACTCTCAGTTTTTCCCAGCCTCATATTTTTATCTAAGCCACAGAATAATCCTTTTTTTCCCCTGGACTAGTACAAATCCAGAAGCAATAAAACACAGAACCATCGCTTTCTATCCAGGAACTGCTGGATAGCTCAGTGGTTTAGGCATTTAGCTGCAGAACCAGAGGTTGGAAGTTCAGTTCCCCCCCCCCGCCTCCTTAGACTCAATGATTCATGGGGTTCCTTCCAACTTGGCAGTTCTCAGGTTATTCTAAGGTTATTCTCAAGTGCTACTGACATCCCTCAGTAAGTCCTTGGGAAAAGTGTGCCTGGAGTGGATTGCTGAAGTACTGGTGGATGAAGAGACACAGAACTACCATACTGTGCATGGTAAAATGGGCTAATATGGCTCAGATTCAAACCTGAATCATCCACTCTTCTTTGGATTTAATATGTGTTTTTTTTTGAGGCCCAGATATTGCCCATTTTACCTTGTTTCGCCTTCTTTCCTAATGTGTATTTATCTTTAGATTTTAGTCCTTCAGGCTTGGAGTTTTTGTAAAAGGGCACTGCAGTTTTATGTGCAGGGCACTGCAACCTACATTTGAACCCATAAACAGCTTCAAACATGTTTTTGAGTCATCTTGATTTTTTCACCAAATTACTCATAAACAGGTTCAAATCCACCCAAAACCTGAAACATAAATTGCAAGGGGAGGGGGGGGGAATGACATGTGATAGAAATCCTCCTGCTACTCATAAATTTAAAAAAAAATCATTAAAATTATAGGCCCACAGTGATTGTTACCACAAAATCCTGATTCAGAAGTCCCACATTATGATAACAGGTTTGCATCTCTGATAGGTTGGCCAGCTGTGGAAAAGAGCAAGGCTCCTGCATCTTTAATACATGTGTTTGTTGCTGCTCTTGCTATGTGACATCAAGTTGAAACTCATTTATAGTGGCCCTAACAGGGATTTGAAGGTAAGTCAGAGATTTAACTAGTGGTTTTACCAGTTCTACACCCCCCCCCCAGTCAGTTTTCATGACTGAGCAGGGATTTGAATCTCATATCCCTGAGCAATAGCTTGTCACTCTATCCATTACGCCACACTGGGTATCCCTACAAGAGGAGATTTGAGCCATGGCGATTTATGTCTGCTGAAATTGTCTCTCCTATGCAAGTATTAAAGGCCCACACCCTCTTTTGGGGTTGGGTAGGGACCTAACTTCTCATATCATAAGAGCAAATCAGATTGGAAAACTCCTTGTCTGAAAAAAAATAAGTTGATGAAAATATTATCAGGCTACTGGAGTTGGCTTTCTTCGGATTCCTCAAAGACGTTGTCTCTGAATGAATTGACTCCCAACAAAGCAGTTTGTGTAAACAAGCCGTTCTGCTGTACATGTCCTGACAGCAGTAGAACAAAAGTTGGTCGTGAGTCACTGGAATCCTCAGCTGTTGGCAAATCTTTGGGCAGAAAACGCAGTCAAATGTGACATGTCTGGGACAGAAGGAAGTACCTCAGCAATACAGGAATCTCCTGAAACCAAGAAATAACAGCACGAGAACCTAAAGAAGGCAATGGATCACATATGCAAATTTTGATCCTCCTGACATCAACTATTGGGCTTTAGAGGATCAGGGAGGGAATAAAGAGGAGGAGCAAATTCTCAAAAGTAGCTTAAAAGTGAGGAGACTCAGGTTCCGTTCCTATTCCTTATACCAGGGCTGAGATGGCTTTGTGGTTTTTCCTTGTGACCTTCCTGTTTCATTTAAGTGCTGCAGAACCTCCAGAGCTGTAAGTAATCAGCTGTATATATAAATATTTTCTTGCTTTGGATTAAAAAAACCTAATACTGTTAGTAGCTGAAAGTAGGTTTGGGGTAGTTTGTGAGACACGAGGTGTCGTATCCTGTCGGCTGAATGCAAAGTGGAATGGAAATCATGCAAAGGTTCCTCCTGCTCTGTTGTAGGCCCCTTCTTGCAAAGGTCATGCCAGATGCTTATGCGATTTCCCTTCTGTTCTGCATTTTATACAAGAGGACAGTAACCTGGGTTCATTAATAGGCTGTAATTTCTTAGGTATGTATTTCAAATTGAGTTCCCCAATAACGCAATAGCGTGATAAGCAGCATAGCTAGAAGTCCCCAGTTGAAATTTCATGTCACCCATGAATTCATTGGGTGGATGGATGGATTGGTTTAAAAGATGCTTATAACTGTGTGCAAGACTGCATATCATAAAAGCATAAAGCAACTATTTTTAAAAAATCTGAGCAGTTCTTAGAATACGTTGATTGAGGAGGCACAGTACTTTCGAGAACACATGAAGAGAGGTCCCTACTGCTAGGACTGTACCATCTAAAAACACAGTGCCCAGGAAGTAATAAAAACATAATACTCACATGGGTCCAAGGTGATTTTTTATTATTATTGTTTTAAAAACATTTCTTTTGCTTAAGGTGTTTCAAATGCAGAAGGGCAGCAAAACAGAACTCAAGGCTGTAGAAATCAGCAGCCCAGAATGCACAATAAAGCAGATAAAAGAACTTAAGGCCATCTTATTCATAAGGCTGACAGGGCTGAAGCCTAAGGGGCCTGCCAGGACTAGGAGTGGGCCAGTTGTTTGTGGTTCTAAACGTCTTGACTGGCCTGAGGGATGTTATGGAATCCCTACGATGACTTTTTGTACAACCATATGCTGAACAAGCGGTATGTAAAAAAAGTTGCAAGGCACACTCGTAGCCAGCTGAGGTTTGTTTTGAGAGAATGGGGGGGGAGAGAGAGGGGGGGGAACCAGTAGTGCACTGGCGCCAGGGTTGTGATGTCATACCACCCATCCTCCCTTATTACATCTCCATGAGCACTGCAGTCTGGCTGTGACCTTGATCACATGTGCTCGAACATTGGGACCAGCCAAAACAGTTATTATTTATAAATTTTTAAAAAGAACAAATGGCAGCCACTGTACAAGCACAAGTCAGGATTTCTAAAGAGATAAGAAATGGAAGAATGATTTCACTGTGAGAAAAGGGGTCAGTAGACTTTTTTCCCCAACTGAGTAGCGTTGTCCATGTGAATACTGAATGTGTAGAAGTGTATATTAAAATAATTATCTATAAATTATATATTTTTAAGGGACCTGGGTGGCGATGTGGGTTAAATCTTTGAGCCACTGAGCTGTCGATCGAAAGGTTGACAGTTCGAAACTGCATGTTTCACTGTGAGAAAAGGGGTCAGTAGACTTTTTTCCCCAACTGAGTAGCGTTGTCCATGTGAATACTGAATGTGTAGAAGTGTATATTAAAATAATTATCTATAAATTATATATTTTTAAGGGACCTGGGTGGCGATGTGGGTTAAATCTTTGAGCCACTGAGCTGTCGATCGAAAGGTTGACAGTTCGAAACCACATGTCAGAATGAGCTCCCATCGCTTGTCCCAGCTCCTGCCCACCTACCAGTTTGAAAGCATGTAAAAATGCAAGTAGATAAATAGGTACCACCTCAGTGGGAAGGTGATGGCGTTCTGGGTCTAGTCATGCCAGCTACTGGACCACGGAAAGCATCTACGGACAAACACCGGCTCTTTGGCTTACAAACGGGAAAGAGCACCAGCCCCTAGACTTGGACACAACTGGACTTCCTTGTCAAGGGGAACATTTACATTTACCTTATACATTCTTAATAAATAATTTTAAATCTTCACTTCAAAATGTGACAGTATTGAACAATTATACCCCACAAAATGTGCTTTCCTGAAGAGTTCTACTCAAGCAATAAAATATATTCAAAAATTGTGAATAGAATTCTTCAGGAGACCCTCAAAATAGATACAGGGCTATGTTCTGCAGTCTAATACCTGCCATACCAGGGCCAGGCTGTCAGATGTAGTGGGGCAAAATACTGAAGTGACGGAGGGCCCCCCCAAAAAATACTTGAAAGCCTAGGGGCCATGGATTAATGTGGTCCTGGAACTTATTCAAATGAGTCAAGAAAGATTTAGACTAGAGATTTTCTTGGAGCGTTATTTAGGAGCATGCAGAATTGTTCTCATTGCTGTATAGCAAGAGAAGACTTTACTCTCCCCCACTTCAACACCTGGGACTAATAGCAAAAAAAGGAAAAGCTGGAAGGTAGCAGAATTGCTATAAAACAGTGAACCGGATTATACAGCCCTGATCCAGCTTCGATCGCGTCAGAAAGAGGAACCGGTGCACCAACATTTAAAAAGTGAAATGTCATACAAAAGTGCTAGTCCCATTTTTGAAAACAATGAGAATAAGGTGCTGAAAAAGTAGCAGGAATTATTTAACAGAGGAGAAATGCAGTCTTCACCAAGTTTACTCGAAAGTTCACCTGTATTTTCCATTGTTTATATTGGACTGTAGCCAAATATTTAAGGGTAATGAACATGTTTAATATCCTGGAAGGAAATCAAAGGGAGATGTGTACACAAAACATAAAGGCTGGAGAACAGAAAAGAAACAGATTCCAAGAGCAATTATCTGGAGCAACTGAGCTGTGCATGTTAGCCTTCAACTCTCAACAACTTTGTCTTCAAGGAACTGAGCATCAGACTTTATGTACTTACTGCAATACCCTAAGATTCCTGATCATGAGTAGGATTTTAAGCTTACGCAGCCAGACACAGGAACTGTGTTGTAAACTTTCAGAAGTACAATAAATGTGTGCAGGCCAGGAGTATGAAGAGTCGAAATACTGGGGTCAGACCTCGTATGGGCAGCTTTCTTCCTCTTTCACATATTCATTGAATGTGAGTTCACTAATACCCAAACAGAGTTCTCAGTTATAGGAGAATTGTGTTGAAAATCCATGAGAACAACCATGTCTCCAGTGCAGCAAAACCAGGAACAGTCTCATAGCACCTTAAAAGATATGCAGAAATAGTAGTTTGTCCTACTAATGGGGTGAATGTGGATGTGTCCCTATGTCAGTCCATGTGTGCCAGTCTTTGCAGTATAAATTCAAGACTGAAACTTAAGACTTTCTGAAACTTGGGGTACAGGCATGCACAGTTAAGGACATCTTAACCATGAGTACAGGAGGACCCCTGTATCCACTATGGGTTGGTTCCAAGCACTTTCACGGATGCTGAAAACCATAGATAATAAGAAACCCTTTACATAGAATGGTCTCTGACACCCTCTAGTGGCCACTTCTGCTAAATGACATCATGGAAATCTGTATTGAGTTTTTTCATTTACTGTTTTTAATATTTTCAAACTGTGGATATTGATCTCGCGGATACAGGAGTCCTACTGTACGTTGAAGCTATTTGCGTTTTTTTTAATGGATTAATTAATTTTAGATAATTTAGGCAAAATTGCATGGATCTGCTCTGACTTGGATGCTGTGGTTGATACACGTCTCATGGATATAATTATGGCCCCTGCGTGTCTTGTCTTAATGGATAGTTTCAGTTTTTGCAGCCTGATGATGAGGACAGGAGCCTTGGAGATGTGAAGGCTACTGCCTGTCTGTTGGACCCTTGCCACTGGGTGAATGGACAAGAGGAGTGGTGTGAATGTGTCATGTTCTCAGGGGATTCAGCAGGCAAAAGTCTGATAAGTCAGTCCAAGGTCAGAGGTCTGGGATATCTAAACAGATGCTGAATCGCCAAAACCAAAACCGTAGTCCGAAGTCAGAGTCCAAGAGCCAAGGGTCAGGAGAACAAGATTCAGGTAGTTGAGGATAAACAAGAGCCTGGACACAAGCCATGGAATTGACTTGCTGCTTCCACGAGTTTCCAAACCTCTGTGTACAAGTTATATAGAAGCAAAAATCATCTCATTCCTGGGAACGTTCCATCTTGCTAAAACTCCGGACTGACTGATCTGATGTTCCTATGAGAAGCATGCATGTGAGCTTCAGACCGTTGTGTTTCAAGTTTCTGCCGAAGCCTATCTCTAACTCTGGCCAGCGGGGGAGGAGAATTTGGCAGTGATTCAACCCTAATTGGAGCTGCGATAACGGAGAGAGGCCTCCGGTTCCACTAATTGCCTTACACTTCTCTCGGTTGCAATTAACTCCTCCGATTCCAGGTCTTCTTCAGCTGAACTCATGTCAGAACGCCTCCTTGAAAAAGCCTTCCTTGGATCCCACAATACTATATAATTACTGGCCATTCTAGTAGGCCATTCTTGAGCAAAGAGAAAGTCATGACTTCTCAGATCCAGAGGTTCCTCAAGGAGACAGATAATTTGGAACCAAACTGGTCATGGGATGGAGGCTGTTTTGGTTGCCTTGGTGGAGGACCTATAGCTTGAGCGGGACAGAACCTGTTGTTCTGCTGGACCTTTCAGTGGCTTCCTGTAGCATCAACCAGGGCATCCTTCTGGTCCACCTCTTGGGTAGAGCCTGGAGTCACTGCTTTACCATGGCTCCTCCGGCCCTTCTTGGAGGAGAGAATCCAGAAAGTGGTGCTGGAAGATTCTTGTTCAACATTCTGGCCTTTGGCCTGCAGGGTCTCTTGGGTGTCAGTTTTGTCTTTATTTAACATCTGCATGAAATTGCTAGGACAGGTTGTCCAGCGTTTGGGGATTCTCTGTTACCAGTATGTGGATGACATCCAACTTTACCTTTCTTTTCCATCTAAATCTGAGGAAGCTGTTTCAGTTCAGGTATCAGTAATGAAACATACAATCTGAGGAAGCTGTTTCAGTTCTAGACCAGTGTCTGGCATCAGTAATGAAATAGATGAGGGTCAATAAACTGAAACTAAATTCAGACAAAACAGAGGTACTTTTGGGTAGTCAAAAGAGAGAGCAAGAAATAGG